TCAGCCTCATCCCTGCTGCATCCCCCTCAGTCAGCCTCATCCCTGCTGCATCCCCCTCACTTCAACCTCATCCCTGCTGCATCCCTGCTGCATCCCCCTCACTTCAACCTCATCCCTGCTGCATCCCCCTCACTTCAGCCTCATCCCTGCTTCATCCCCCTCAGTCAGCCTCATCCCTGCTGCATCCCTGCTGCATCCCCCTCACATGTCAGCCTTACCCCTGCTGCATCCCCCTTACTTCAGCCTCATCCCTGCTGCATCCCCGCTGTGCTGGGTGCTGCGCTGCTGCCACCGTGTGAGCGGTCCCCGAGTTTCTACGCCCCGTGTCTGTTTGTTTAAGGTGTGACTCGCCGCGCTGGTGCACTTTGAACCGGGCACGTTGTTGTGCAGACGCTCACGAGCGCCTTTTTCCCCCTGAGGACTTTAGACCGAGAAAGGTCTAAAATATCCCAGCGCCCTGCCAGGGCACGGGGTGTTGTGTTGGTGGGATGGCTGGGGTACCCCACAGAGGGGGCACCCTGGGGCTCCAGCACCCCTTTGCTGGTGTGTAAACCAGCCGTGCTGGTCCTGACACCATCTCTGCTGATGTTACAACCTGAGCCGTGTTTACCTGGTGGGTAACATGTGGGTCAGGAGTGGGGTTGAGAGGTCAAACAGGGGTGAGCCTGGGAGGTTTCCTGCCTTGGCACTGACTCACCCCATGGCTTTAGCAGGTGATCTCATCTCCCTGGGCTAGATTTTTGGTGATAAAGAGCTGAACTGGTATACACCAGATAGCTGAATAAATCATCAGGAGGTTGGTGGGGTTTAAGATGGGGTCGGTCACAGGGTGTGGGTGATGGTGGTATCTCCCCAAATGCTGGTGTCAAGGGCCACCACTGAGGCTGTTGGTTTATTGCTCGGGATTGCTGAAATTCAGGAATGTGCCTGTCACTAATTCACCCATTTTCAGTGTTTTCCCTGAAGGTGTCTTATACTGCTGCTTCTTGTGTATGAAGCCAATGCTGGAAGTGCCTTTGAGTCCTTGCCTGCACAGCCCAGGGGATGCCCGAGAGCATCCTTTGATGCAGTTATCCTTTGGGATATCCTGCTCTGCCATTGTCTCTGCAGCTGTCCCCACAGCAGCCCCTGTCCTTGGCTTCCCACTGCCCTGACCTGACACCTCCAGCAGCACAGACCAAGTGGTTCTGCTCCATCCAGCCAGGACACCAGAGCTGTGATCAGGGCCCATATCCAGGTAGGAAGATTTCCTTGGAGTTTTATCATCGCTGGTGAGTGATTTCCCAGCACTTCCCCATTCTTGGGCACAAGCCCTCGCTCACCATCTGCTCCTAATTCTGAAAAGCTACATCAAATATCTGCTCAGCTTTTTTTAATACCCCCCTGCACGACACCACCGGAGCTCTTCTCTCCCAGCCCTGTTATCCTCAAACCCCGGATCTCCTATTCCCGAGTCCCTGACCAAGGCAGAGCTTCCCCGAGGGATGCAGCAGCCCCCGGGTCGGCTCCGGGAGGAAGCAGCAGGTTACTGATTATTCCCTCTGTTAAACACGGCAGCTTTATTTACGCTGTTTTCCAGGTTGCAGACGTGCGTGTGCTTGAAATGCAGACGGTGACCTGGCGCGGTGGTTGAACTGGTTGTACTGGAACCGCCGAGCTCTGCGCCACGTCCCGGGGCCGCCGGCTCCGCTCCCGGCCGGGAGATGCCGGCAGGTCACACCCTCCCACCGGGAGCCTGCGGAAATGCCTCCCGAATGGCTGGTTTTTCCTCCTTTTTCCCGCTTACGAGGCAGGTTCCCAGCCTGCAGCCCCGGCAGGGACTCTCTAAATTGGGATGTAGAAACTCAGGCATGATGAAGAGAGATACCAGTATGGACCAGTGTGTGTGGGCTGGGAATTGGGATCTGAGGGAGCCCGTCATGGAGCAGGCTGGGATGGACCCTTATCCTGGGGGCAAAGCTGGGGCTCTGCCATGTTCCATTATATATAACATATTTATATATTTATATTGTATTTCTGATGCTAATTAGCTGCTAAGTGTCTCTCTAATCATAGAATCCCAGAATGGTTTCAGTTGGAAGGGACCTTAAATCTCATCCAGTCCCACCTCCTGCCATGGGCAGGGACACCTTCCACTATCCCAGATTGCTCCAAGCCCCATCCAACCTGGCCTTGAACACTTCCAGGGATGGGGCAGCCACAACTTCTCTGGGCAACCTGTGCCAGGGCCTCACCACCCTCTTCCTATTCCTTCCAATGTAATCTAGATCTAAATAGATATTCTAATCCTAATGTAGGATAAATAGGCATCCTTCCTCAACACCCTCTTCCAATTTCTTCCTGTCTAATCTAGATCTACCCCTTGTCCTATCACCCCATGACCTTGTTATATATCATAAAATATATACGTGCAGTCTGGTGGCTCTGCTGACCTGACTCCCAGGGATGGGCTTTCCCTCTTTCAGGACAAGCCATCCAACTGCAGGTATCCAGGAGCAGCGTGTCACCCAGAGCAGTGCTTTTGGCTCACTGTTGGAAAGGTTTGGAGGAATCCTGGGATACGGCCGGGCTTTCAGTGGTGACTTTATAATACATGCTGAGCACTTTTGAGCAGGAAAAAGCAAGGAAAACTGCCAGTGAGCCATTTCTGCCTCCAAGGCAGGGTAATGTGAGCCCCTGGCACCTACCTGCACGTACCAGGGCATCAGATGCCCTTCTGAAAGGCCCTTTTGTAACCTGCTGGTGGGTCCAGTGGGGCTTCAGTTCCCCCCTTGGCATTCCTGTGCTCTGTATCCTGCATATCTGGCTGGATAAACACCCTGGAGAGGTCCCAGCCTGCCCTGGACTGGGCAGGGAGTGTTTGCAAGGGGAGGAGTTGAGCTGCCATAGATAAATCCCCACACTGGGATGGCTGCTGGAGCTGGAAAGGCGAGACCAAGAGATGGATGTGAATGTGTTATCCCCCAGAGGAGTGTGTGGAAGGGAAGGGCAGGTGCCTTAGCAGCCATCCAAGGGGGCTGAGCAAGTCCCTCCCGCCTTGATCCTGCTCCACTGCCACTGAAAAGCCCATTTCTGGCCAAAATTCAGCTTTGTGGAGTGGGAACCTGAGGAGCCAAGTTATGAATGTCCCCTCTGTGCTCACAGTCTCCAGGGCCTCTCTTCAGGGGGATGACCTGGCTCGGAGCTCTCCCTGCGCTGGATCAGGGGCAGTCAGTGTGTGAAGTCCGTGTTCCCCCTGCTTTCTTATAGAGAAAATAATTCCCTGTTATATTTCCTGACTGACAGAGCTGCTTGGGATGACAGGTCTGTGTTTGACACAGGAAGGTGGGGCAGGAGAGGAGGGAATTTGCCTGAAGTGGGGTGAATTTGCCTGAGCCGGTGGGCCGAGCCGGAAAATGCAAAACAATCCGTACGAGTTAAAAAAATAAACATGCAGCTGTGCTTAATAACTATTTCTTTTTATAGAACAACTCTCGGGATTGCTCTTTGATTAGAGGAGGAAGGTATCGCTGCCGTGCGCCGGGGCAGGTGAGTCAGTGGGAAATACTGTCAGCTTCGTAAGGGACTGTGCTGGGAGGGAGGGATGCAGGGAAGCAGGGGGGGTTTCCCAAGAATCCTGAACACCAGTGGCCCCGAGGCTGGGCTGTGGTGCCGCTGAGTCACGCCAGGAGATGTGACAAGTTTCGTTGGGTTCGTGATGGCTTTTGCCTTTGCAAGGACTTGCAGGGCTTAAGGGACAGGAAAAACTGCAGTGTCATCTCTGACAGAATTTGAGTCTTTGTTGGTGTTTATTGTTATGGCTGGGTGTGAGAAGGGCCTGGAAAAATGCATCACAGTTGTTGTTGGGATGGCATTCGGGGAGAGGTGACACTGGACACGGCATTAGTTGCAACAGGTTTTGCCAAAGCTCAGGTCTGGTCCCTGCAGTTCAGTCTGGAAACCACGGGACTGTCTGGCTATGAGGACAAGGCACATGGCCAGTAGCCATGGTGAGGGCCATGCCCGGAATGGCTCTTCCTGGCAAGCAGGTGTTTAACTGTGACTGTTTGTAGAGGGCAGCAGACTGATAAAAAGCACTTTCCAGGCTCCCTGGGAGCACAGGCTTTGTGGGGATGTCAGCTTTGCCTTGGTGAATGGAGTGATGAGCCTGAGCAGTTGGGTTCCTCAAAACGGGACTTCTGCACACAGAGTTGGGAACTGATAGAGGAAAGGCTCCACACAAGCTGGTTTCATAATGCAGATGCCTCACAAGCTGGGTTTTAAACTACAGATTGAAAACTAAAACTTTAGTTAGATGTTGGGAAGAAATCCTTCCCTGTGAGGGTGGTAAAGCCCTGACACAGGTTGCCCAGAGAAGCTGTGGCTGCCCCATCTCTGGAAGTGTCCAAGGCCGGGTTGGACGGGGTTTGGGGCAACCTGGGCTAGTGGAAGGCGTCCCTGTCCAAGGCAGGGGGTGAAACTGGGCGGGCTTTAAGGTTCCTTTCCAACCAAACCATTTTGAGGTTCTATTAAACTGGAGATAGGGGCTGCGATGTTTAGAGCAGGGGCTGCACGGTACTCCGAGGAGGTGACCCCATCGGCATCCCCGGCTGGGACCCGCACCCGGTTTGGGGGGGTATCTCCCCTATGGTTTGGAGGGGTCTCCCCCATGGTTCGGAGGGGTCTCCCCGATGGTTTGGAGGGGTCTCCCCGATGGTTTGCGGGTCTCTGCGCTGGTTCGAGGGGGTCTCCCCGCTGCTGCCCCCTCCGCTGTCCCGGTTTCCCGGA